CTTATTACGGCTTTTGATCTTATCAGTTATGTCAAGAACTAATCTATAGGCTTGAGTATTGGAGTTAGGGATGAATTTTGAAAGTTTATTAACAGTGTCTAATAATTCCTCGTTAAAGGTGTACTGAATTCTGTTTCCTTCCCCCTTAAATTTTAGAGTGACGTCCTCCTTAATTTTTCTCTTAAGGCAATCTTGTTCTTGTATGAGTTCAGATTTCAACTCACCTAACTTGCTGTCTAAAATTGTCTTAAAAAGCTCTACAGTATCTACCAAATCAGACGACTTATCAGCTGCTTTATGAATATTAGGTGGCGGTAAACTATTATCTCCTTCGAGTAGTATGTCTTCATTCAATTCCAGACGTGGAGAAGATTCGGACATTTTACCAAGTGGCGATTTAAGAAAAAACGAACCTTTCTGTCGGATAGGCGAACCTCGAATGACAATTCTAGATATCTTATTATAATTTTAGCGCTAAAATTCTAGCATGAAGTTATCATGATTGATATAACTTAAACCGGTAATAACTTACTGATGGTCCAATCAAATTAAACATAAACATGTTTTGATTTAAACACACGTGTTAAAAGTAAACAAATACACGTGTTCCCGAGTAACCTTTATAAATACATAACCAAACTGACAATGCCATGACAAAAAGGAAAAACGACGGAAAGACAAACAATAGTCTACAAAACATAATGTACATAGAAAACTGAAAAATGAGAAACACATTGTGATGTTTATAGTAACTTCATTTAATTTCTAAAACTTGCGAAATTGCATTTTTGCTGTTGCATAATCCTCACAAGAAAATGCAATATTATGTGTGTTACATAGACTTTAATCAATGTTTTGATTACTGCACAGCTGATTTCTAATCTATCTCTCACATCGAAGATATACACCCTAAACCAGTCATTGAGATCTAATTACTAGCAAACCATGCCTCACTTCAATCAGAGATGAGTTGAATTAACGTTTGACAATTAAATTTGGAAAACAAAAAGTTATGCTTTGCATTCCTAGATCGTAAAAAGAAAACAAAATGTTATGCTTAATCAGACGTATGTCTTTATAATTACAATTGAGATTTTTGTTTTATTGAATGCTGATGATTTTCAACGTTTTGAAGATACAATAGCCAATACTTTAATCACTATTAAAATTTAGCAGATTGTTTTGCATTCATTTTAGTAATAATGAACGCCTTATTAACATTTTAGGAGTATCTTATTGGCGCCATTTTAATCGGTATAGAGGTAAGGTCTTAAAATAATTTATTTTAACTCTTATACGGATACAATAATGAGATGTTCGTTTTTTATTATCAAACGTGCTATTAAAACACTCTCATGTAGACGGTTACGTGCTCACAGACATGATTATTTGCCTGTCCCAAGCTTGGAGACCGTCTATATTTGTAGTTGGTAGCAATAGACCTCATCGCCATTTGGATATCTGCGACTTTGACCTTAGAATCTGCGACACTTGAACTATCAACGTCACAAAACCATCACTTTTCCTCTGTTGTGTCGTCATTTTATTACGGGAAACTTTAAGATGTCTAGTAATAGCCGACACATAGCGATAAGGTGTATTGCCCTTTGTCATTATTGGATTTCCGTTTTTTTTTTGTTTCTCATTTTTTTTTACTCGGATATGTTATAGCTGAATCATGTGTATGGTAGTTATTAATATGTTTTTCATTTTGTAACCTCCCATATCTACTCTGGTTTTATTCAAACTGTATGAAAATGAACTATAGAAATTGATAGAAAATGTTCCGTTTTCATTTTATATGTGAAGAATTAAATTGAGTTAAGCAAAACATAAATGTAAGATGTTCAGTTTTTGATTAAAACAAGTAAGATTCAGCTTTCTAAATAGTAGGGGTTTTCTTGGAATGCGGAATATTGCAATATGTAATTGTTACAACATGTATGGTGTGATATGATATCTTACATAGTATATGAATCTCTTATATAAAGCCTAAGTTAAAAGTTATTGTTCAACTGTACATTGATAAGTAAGAAATACAAATGAGTTCATTATTTTGGGAACTTCTGTATGACCTTGAACACAATCAAAATTAGCTACATACTTATTTAGAATAAACACTCCACGCTGTATTTAAACAAATGAAATGAGTTCTTAATTATACCTTTCATTCAATGTCAAGACTTTAACTTGGTCCATTTTTTTTACAAAACATGTAGATGAAACTATAAACTTCATTTCAAATCTCTAAATGCCCTTTTAATGCGTATTTCGATAAAATTTCAATTGCAGATATTCAAACTTCAAAACAACAAGTTAAACTCTATATCTTTACTTTGAACTACAAACGTTGCACGCGTGAACCTCAAAACACTATTGTTAACGGAAATACTGCAGAGCAACACAGTGATTCGCTGAAATAGATAACAACAACCGATTGTGAGACTAGTTTCTGTACCCTTATTTTATTATTGTACTAACCACGATGCAAATTTTGACAAGTTATGTCTCTTAAATGATTATCGAGGCCAACACAAATGAAAATCCAAAAATATATATATCATACCTGTTTAGAGGTACAATATAGATATCATAAGGAGATATTATATAAACACATTATACGTATTTTCTGTGGTCATTTTTGAGTTGTTGGGTCACTGTCAAATTTACGTTTAAAACCCACACAACTCAATTTATTTATATCATGCAAAAGAACTTGTTAATCAGATCTTTTTGTAACATGTAATGTTAGTAATTAAGTCCGGGTTACACAACAACTTCTCAGCTATGTGTTATTTATATGAAGTTCTCTCTGGAAGGGAAAGAGGTCCATGCACAATCTGTCAATGTGTTGTTGAATTTCACTGCGTCATTCAGGGGCGAATATTTTGACCTATTATGTCTGTTTGTTTTGTTCACACATCGTTCTCAACAGAATGGGATTTTATGCGACTGTCATACAAGTGAGAGGTTTAGCTAGCTATAAAACCAGGTTTAATCCACCATTTCTACATAAGAAAATGCCTGTACCAAGTCAGGAATATGACAGTTGTTGTCCATTCGTTTGATGTTTTTGAGCTTTTTATTTTGGCATTTGATTAGGGACTTTCCGTTTTTGAATTTTCCTCGGAGTTCAGTATTTTTGTGATTTTACTTATCACTCACAAAAATGTTCAACCTCGTAAAAAAAATGTTATGTACCCGTCAGTAGCAGGCAATCCAATGGCGGAAGATGGATTTGATTTGCCATACTTGAACATTTTTTTTGTTTGCTATTTTGTCGTATAAATCAGGCCGCTGGTTTGTCTCTTTGTGATTGTTTTCACAAACCTTCGAAGAGTAAATGAATATTATGTCAGCATCAAATTTCTAATTATCTGGGCATACTTTGTCGAAATCTTTAAAAGTGAATATGTGATCATTGTCTTCCTTTGCCAACTTTTAACATTTGAAAAAGAGAGAATACTGATACCAAGGGATACTCAAATTATAAACCAAACTGACAATGCCATGACAAAAAGGAAAAACGACGGAAAGACAAACAATAGTCTACAAAACATAATGTACATAGAAAACTGAAAAATGAGAAACACATTGTGATGTTTATAGTAACTTCATTTAATTTCTAAAACTTGCGAAATTGCATTTTTGCTGTTGCATAATCCTCACAAGAAAATGCAATATTATGTGTGTTACATAGACTTTAATCAACGTTTTGATAACTGCACAGCTGATTTCCAATCTATCTCTCACATCGTAGATATACACCCTAAACCAGTCATTGAGATCTAATTACTAGCAAACCATGCCTCACTTCAATCAGAGATGAGTTGAATTAACGTTTGACAATTAAATTTGGAAAAAGAAAAGTTATGCTTTGCATTCCTAGATCGTAAAAAGAAAACAAAATGTTATGCTTAATCAGACATATGTCTTTATAATTACAATTGAGATTTTTGTTTTATTGAATGCTGATGATTTTCAACGTTTTGAAGATACAATAGCCAATACTTTAATCACTATTAAAAATTTAGCAGATTGTTTTGCATTCATTTTAGTAATAATGAACGCCCTATTAACATTTTAGGAGTATCTTCTTGGCGCCATTTTAATCGGTATAGAGGTAAGGTCTTAAAATAATTTATTTTAACTCTTATACGGATACAATAATGAGATGTCCGTTTTTTTATTATCAAACGTCCTATTAAAACACTCTCATGTAGACGGTTACGTGCTCACAGACATGATTATATGCCTGTCCCAAGCTTGGAGACCGTCTATTTTTGTAGTTGGTAGCAATAGACCTCATCGCCATTTGGATATCTGCGACTTTGACCTTAGAATCTGCGACACTTGAACTATCAACGTCACAAAACCATAACTTTTCCTCTGTTGTGTCGTCATTTTATTACGGGAAACTTTAAGATGTCTAGTAATAGCCGACACATAGCGATAAGGTGTATTGCCCTTTGTCATTATTGGATTTCCGTTTTTTTTTTTCTCTCATTTTTTTTACTCGGATATGTTATAGCTGAATCATGTGTATGGTAGTTATTAATATGTTTTTCATTTTGTAACCTCCCATATCTACTCTGGTTTTATTCAAACTGTATGAAAATGAACTATAGAAATTGATAGAAAATGTTCCGTTTTCACTTTATATGTGAAGAATTAAATTGAGTAAAGCAAAACCTAAATGTAAGATGTTCAGTTTTTGATTAAAACAAGTAGGATTCAGCTTTCTAAATAGTAGGGGTTTTCTTGGAATGAAGAACATTACAATATGTAATTGTTACAACATGTATGGTGTGATATGATGTCTTACATAGTATAAGAATCTTTATATAAAGCCTAAGTTAAAAGTTATTGTTCAACTATACATTGAAAAGTAAGAAATAAAAATGAGTTCATTATTTTGGGAACTTCTGTAAGACCTTGAATACAATAAAAATTAGCCACATACTTATTTAGAATAAACACTCCACGCTGTATTTAAACAAATGAAGTGAGTTCTTACCTATACCTTTCATTGAATGTCAAGACTTAAACTTGGTCCACATTTTATACAAAACATGTAGTCTAGATGAAACTATAAACTTCAATTCAAAACTCAAAATGACCTTTTAATGTGTATTTCGATTATATATTTCAATTGCAGATATTCAAACTTCAAAACAATAAGTTAAACTGTATATCTTTACTTTGAATTACAAACCTTGGACGCGTGGGCCTCAAAACACTATTATTAACGGACATACTGCAGAGCAACACAGTGACTGGCTGAAATGGATAACAACATCCGATTTTGAGACTAGTTTCTGTACCCTTATTTTTAACTTCTTATACGTAATAAGTCTAATTCGGTATGTCACATTCGAGGACGGGATTAGTGGCTACAATTGGAACATATCCGCTGTCATCTGTGAAATAGATATTCCATAACAGTCAATCAACTCGTAGTGGCGTTTGTACAATTTTTAAAGGGATAAACTATCTGTTGAAAGTCAGAACAACACCTTTGAACATAGACAAGGGACAACTATTTTCAAAAAACTTAATACATATACATGACAAGAAAATGATTTTTTGCAGATAGTAAAAAGACACAATATGGTAGCTATAGACAAGGGAAACATACCTCTCCTCCAGCTACAACCACACCTACAATACCTGAACCTGGATCTTCAACGCCGGCTGGTGGTGGGCGAAGTATTCGTTTACCGCTCAATCTATATCCATTTTTATATGAACTTCAACTAGTACCTTATATATATGAAACAAATGCATCAGACTTCTATTTCGAAGGAAGAGTTAAAATTAGTATGGAGTGTAGGCGGTCAACAAACGAAATCGTTCTACACAGTCATAAGCTTTTCTTTGTGACAAGTTCTGTGAAGATAACACCAATGGCACCTGGACAAAATACAATTATCCCTACAATAGAATTTGATGCTGTCAATCAGTTCCTTATTTTGAAATCAAATACACAATTAATGAGCGGGTCGAACTATTCCGTTTTTATTGAGTTCGGTGGACTTTTACTTTCTGAACTGTCTGGATTTTTTCAAACATCATACCAACGTGGAAATGAAACAATGTAAGTAGAAATAAGATATGTGAACAGTATAGACTGCAAGAAAAAAATCAAAGATCGATAAAGTCCCAGACGAGCGTGTATATAATGTGTAATGAATAACACTTCTGATTGAGTTATATACTGCCTCATATGATTGCATAACAATCACCACTAAGAGAAAAATTTCGTTTTGACTTGAGAGTAACCATTTTGAATCGTCATCATGATGATATATTATTTTTCCGTAGGTAAATATATTCTAAGAACTAATCAAATTAAAAGTTGTTTTAGTATTTTCAATAAAAAACATTTACTGTTTCATTGTGTATTTTTCAGTTATGTTGCCCAGACACATATGCAGCCAACACATGCAAGAAAAGTCTTCCCGTGTTTCGACGAACCTGCAATTAAAGCGAGATTCAATGTGACTCTTTTCAGGAAAAAACACATGATTTCATTGTCAAACATGAAACAAATCCTATCCCAAGACTTGTAAGTTATTATTCTTTAATATTTCTGTAAAAGAAAACACGATATATGCTAATCGTCACAGTAGACAAACAACAGAATGTAACCTTCAAAAATAGATAATCAGTGGCGGATCCAAACATTTTCATAAAGGGAGCCTACTGACTGTCTAAGAGGGGGCCAGCTCCAGTCATGCTTTGGTGATTACCTATATAATTAACCAATTTTTTTCTACAAAAGGAGGGCCCTCCTAAATCCGCCTCTGATAATGTCGATTCATATATACCACGTGGTACACATACAATAGATAGATCGACTGCAGTTTTTGGTGGGCTTCGTATAGATCAGTATCTATTTTATGTATGCATTGACTTGTAGTTTGTTGTTTTGTCTTCGACAATTTTACGTATTGACTTGTAGTTTGTTGTTTTGGCTTCGTATAGCTCAGTATCTATTTTAGGTATGCATTGACTTGTAGTTTGTTGTTTTGTCTTCGACAATTTTACGTATTGACTTGTAGTTTGTTGTTTTGTCTTCGTCATTTGTGTTTATTGACTTGTAGTTTGTTGTTTTGTCTTCGCCATTTGTATGCATTGACTTGTAGTTTGTTGTTTTGTCTTCGTCATTTGTATGCATTGACTTGTAGTTTGTTGTTTTGTCTTCGCCATTTGTATGCATTGACTTGTAGTTTGTTGTTTTGTCTTCGCCATTTGTATGCATTGACTTGTAGTTTGTTGTTTTGTCTTCGTCATTTGTATGCATTGACTTGTAGTTTGTTGTTTTGTCTTCGCCATTTGTATGCATTGACTTGTAGTTTGTTGTTTTGTCTTCGCCATTTGTATGCATTGACTTGTAGTTTGTTGTTTTGTCTTCGTCATTTGTGTTTATTGACTTGTAGTTTGTTGTTTTGTCTTCGCCATTTGTATGCATTGACTTGTAGTTTGTTGTTTTGTCTTCGTCATTTGTGTTTATTGACTTGTAGTTTGTTGTTTTGTCTTCGCCATTTGTATGCATTGACTTGTAGTTTGTTGTTTTGTCTTCGCCATTTGTATGCATTGACTTGTAGTTTGTTGTTTTGTCTTCGTCATTTGTATGCATTGACTTGTAGTTTGTTGTTTTGTCTTCGCCATTTGTATGCATTGACTTGTAGTTTGTTGTTTTGTCTTCGCCATTTGTATGCATTGACTTGTAGTTTGTTGTTTTGTCTTCGCCATTTGTATACATTGACTTGTAGTTTGTTGTTTTGTCTTCGCCATTTGTATGCATTGACGTGTAGTTTGTTGTTTTGTCTTCGCCATGTGTATGCATTGACTTGTAGTTTGTTGTTTTGTCTTCGTCATTTGTATGCATTGACTTGTAGTTTGATGTTTTGTCTTCGCCATTTGTATGCATTGACTTGTAATTTGTTGTTTTGTCTTCCGTCATTTGTATGCATTGACGTAATATGATCGTTCTCACTTGGACTTTATCCTTTGAATGGACCTCAGTACAATGTATCTGCCACCTTTTGTTTCCAACTATTGACTCTCACTTAGCTAGCTTCCACCTTTTTTGTTATTATAAAAAAAATCATTTTCTCTTAAGGAAAATGGAAATTTAATTTTTCTAACGTTTTTATTGACAAGTTTTCCCCCCGAAACCAAGCGGTTTTCAAATTGTAAGCAAAGACATTAACATATTGCCCATCCCCTTTACTGTGCCGGAAGGAAAGTCTAATAGTCATCGGCGAATAACTTTTTTATAACTGCTATTCGTGGTGCAGAAATCAGAAATCGGAGAGGCAATCGCTGAGTATATTCGCATACACTAGTTAAACAAATTTGATCTGAATCATGTTGATCTTTAAAGACTGAACAATAAATCACGCAGTCATATTCAGTCTATCAGTTTATTTTCAGACTAATCAACTACGTAAAAATTGGTATAGACAATTAGCTTTGCAACTATGGACCAAAATAACAGTTATAACTCAAAGTTGTCTTTCGCGTTAAAAATTCGTAAAAAAAAATCTTATGTTCTAAAATGAAATAGTTCTAATACATTTTTTCTCAAACGTGTTTTTTAAAATTAATTCCGCTTTTGTTTATTTTTTTCAAGAGGAAAAGACTGGGTGGCTGATCATTATGCAGTTACACCGTTGATGTCAACTCAGTTATTAGCTTTTGTTGTTTGTGATTTCATATCCAAAGAAGTCATAACTCCAACTAATGTATTAGTAAGTATTTCTGTAATGTGTCAACACTCTTATAATCCAACATAATTATCAGTTCATTCTGCCGTTCCTGTACGTGAATGATGATAAATATCTGTATAAATTCAGTTAAGTGGAATGTTGAATAAACTTATCATAGATACCAGGATGTTGTACGCCAGACGAGCGTTTCGTCTACAAAAGACTCATCTGTGAAGAGTGAGTTAACAAATTTAAAAAATCAAACTAAAGTACGAAATTTAGAGCATTGAGGAGCCGAAATTCTGATATTGCCAAAGAAAGCTAAAATAATCTATTCCTTGGGAAAACAGTCCTTAGTATTTCGAATTGTTCAAAGTGTTGTCAACAGTTGATTTGTATTTTAAGTTACAATGCATCTCGCTTTAAAAAAGAAATATGACCACACAATAAATCAATGATAATTCATGTAGACACTGACGTGCCGAGTAGTATTAAGGTAGTGTTCGACTTCCATGACTTTTACTGGATTGAAGTGCGAAATGTGACAATGTTATTCAGGTTGAGTGTAACAATGATTATTCCTGGTGACACTTTGTTTCACTGTTCAATGTTAACATTCTTTTCTTTTTAAATAACAAACGACTTGCTAAACACATGCGTATCCAATCTCAACTAACAGTCAACATAAAAGTTGCACGAATATTGATTAAAACGAGGGTGAATTATTGACCTGCAAGTAAATTATACATGAACGATATGAATTTGATTATTTTGACGTAATTGAACCAAACTGGCTGCCAGTATTGAATATAATTTTAAAATTCTGCTTTAATAAATGTTTAAAAACCCACAAAAACCATATTTTAATTCATACCTCATGGTCCTTTTAACGTATTGTATTTTATCAATAATCGATTATCTCAATAAAAACGTTGATATAACAGAAAGATGTCATAAATTCAATATGAGCTTTAATTTTTATTTTGCGATTTCAAAAGAAGCGACTATTCCCAGTGGAGATTCAAAACTAGTAAGTCATAAAATGATCGATCGACGAAATCATGTCACAGAACGAAAAACGACGACAGCAGAAATAAAGTTCTACAACAGACTATATAGAATACTTTAGACTAGACAATATGAGCCCCAACGATACCCGAGGGTTTTCTTATGTACTCCGAAAAGGGTAAGCAGATGGTGTTTCTTAAAAACAACGGTCGCTAAAACACGATATAAAACACTAAAACGGAGCAAAAAAAGAGTTAAAAGGGTATGGAAACATCGGAACGATAACGATTGTAGTGTACCTTTTCACACTTTTGTGATTTAAGAGTTACAAGCAGTGAGATAGAATCTATTTTTTTATATGAAATGATTATAAAAAGGACATTTAAACTACGTTCTATAGAGAGTCAATTGTCTTTTTCTGTATTTGATATACGGAAACTAATGCTACTTTCATGAATTTCTGCTCAAGAGGAAACCCAACAATTTGTCTAAAACAGATTTGCCTCGTTTAATTATCATAAAATTTTTAAAAAAATATTTACTTCGACTGGTTTACAAAATGTAAAAAACTCAAGAAATGTTCACAGGAATAATTTCAGTGGAAAATATAGCAGTTTGTCAAACACTAATTGTTATCATTAATTATCTTGATTTTCTTTACTAATAGTATGTGATTAACACGTTCAGCTGATGGTTAAAGAGTTAACTCCCTTAAGTTTCTGTACCCACATAAACATTTGTTGTAATTCTTAACTTATCAAAGACGAATTTGTAGAAATTACCATCATAACATCTTTGTATCAGACTTTTGTAATATTTTTTGTGTGAAACGTTTGGCCTATATCTCAATATTTTATTTTTGCAATTTTACAACAGGATTACATAATAACAATTATACCACTCTGTTACAACGATACAATACCGATGCAAAGATGCTTGAGGCCAACACATTGAAAACCAAAACTTAATACAAACGACGAAAAGCTAAAAACCCCAAAAAGGAGAAAAATGGTTAAACATATAATTCTAAACAAGTATTCATTTTATATCAGTTCAGAGTTTGGACTCGTCGAGAAGCAATCGATCAAACAACATACGTTTCAGACGTTGGTGGCAGAGTTCTGACTTTCTATGAAGAATATTTTAATTATCCATTCATGCTTCCTAAACAAGGTGAGAGGTATATGTATACGAATCCATTTCCGCTCTTGAAACAAGGTGAGAGGTATATGTATACGAATCAATTTCCGCTTCCTAAACCAGATGAGAGGTATATGTATACGAATCAATTTCCGCCTCCTAAACATTATGAGAGGTATATATATACGAGTCAATTTACGCTTTCTAAATAAGATGAGAGGTATATGTCTACGATATAAAAAAGAAGATGTGGAATGATTGCAAATGAGACAACTCTTCACAAGAAACCAAATGACACAGAAATTAACAACTATAGGTCATCGTACGGTCTTCAACAATGAGCAAAGTCCATACCGCATAGTCAGCTATAAAAGGCCCCGAAATGACAAATGTAAAACAATTGAAACGAGAAAACTAACGGCCTATTTAATGTACATTTAAAGGACAAAATTTAGACAATAAACAGGTGTCTTTACCATGTTACAAGTCTTTTCTTATAATCAGTAAGCACAACTTGGAATGGCATTTATAGAGAATATATTCCAACACTAAGTCGCCACCTATGAAAAAAATATCCGAGTAAACGTCAACAAAAAAATAAAAATGAAACAATAAATGGCTTTATGGTTGTTAACTTCTTGGTCATTTGTTGTATGGTGTAAATTTGCAATAATACCAAATCTTTTTATTTGAAATTTATTTTACCTTGCTGTTGTCATCCAACCAATCAATGCACATGTTTCTATCTCATATGTTATGATGCAAATCTTTCCAAATGAAAACAAATTCCAGAAAACTGTTTCTATACAGTGTAATGATATTTGGATAAAACTAAGGACAACTAATGACGATTTTCATAGTCCCATTGTTTTGTCATTGTTTACATATTTTTATTACTTCTTATCCCCGGTGTTTGGTGGGGTTAATGTTGCTCAGACTTTGGTTTTCTATGTGTTTTGCAATTCTTGTTTGTCTTTTGGTTGTTTTTGTTTCTTTTTTTTATCTTGTCAGTTTATCTTTTACTTACAAAAAAAAGAACGAAATACAAATATGTTACACGGCAACAAACTACTGAATTACAGGCTCCTGACTTGGGACAAGTACATACATACAGAATGTGGTGGGGTTAAACATAACAAGATTGTCAAAGAGTTTACTCCCTTACGTTTCCGTACCCACTTAAACATTTGTTATAATTCTAAAAAAGATGAGAGGTATAATCCATTTCCGCTTCATAAACAAGGTAAGATGTATATGCAAACGAAAATGTTACGTTATTATCACAATATTATCACAACATTTTTTAATTAAAATTTATGAAGGGATGATTTCGACTTCACCATCTAGAACTCTTGGTTTAATTGCTTCCTTGGTAGCAGCAACCCTCTATTAGGGAAATCATGATAGGAAATACAAGCACGGGAATATCGTATGAATTTGGAAATATATACTCCGTATGCCGGCGCTGCTGGAATGTTGCTACATAGAAATGGAAAAATCACAATTGGGAAGCTGAACTCATCTCTTTTGTCAGAAATTTTTTTTTCAACCGACGCTCATTGTCAATTTTTAGATGTTAGTCAATATATTAGGCCTGTTGTATCCTTTATCGCAAGTTCGATAGGATAGATGCATTCAAAATAGTCACCAAATTTTGAATAATTTAGTGAGATACCATCATCTTTATAGCGGAAAGTAAAGTTAAAGGATACTGCTAGCTGGTTTTTTCTCTTTCTAAGAAGTAACCGTAACATTCAGTTCATTAAACATGCGTTCTATTTCTATAGACATTGGAAATTTGCATTTTATTCCTATAAATCTGGATTTAGGTCAGGATATGTTTGATATATATAAACGAACATTTTTTTTTGTAATACACTAACCATTGTTTTAAGACAAAATGTCTTATATATTTATCCAACCTTTAAGTATTTGTTGCTACTCGGCTAAGAATATTTTTTTAGGAGTAGAACAAAATTTGGGTCGAAAAAAAAGCAAACTCAAATTATGAAAAAAGTAATGTTAATAATATTAGTGTCACTTACACGTAATTTTACGTCAGTAATTCAGTTTGATATTTTTTTGTAATGCTAGTAACCTATATAAAATGCAAGAATATAACATATTACCCACAAAGGGAATTACCTTTTATGATGTACTTAATCATTCGTTTTGGTTCTATCAAGGTCCCTATTTTGTTTTTTTAAATATATATGTCACACTATTTTCATTTGATCTGGTGTTACCCCTGTCTGACCGTCGGTGTACCCATATTTCTGTCCTTTCTCATTTCCGTCGCAGTTTGTTTTCATAAACGATTCTAAGACTTTCCTGAAATCTGGTATCAGGTTTCATTTGAGAATGAGATACTGTACAATGCTTTCAGATTTATATCTCATTAGCTATTTGCTTACAGAATGTTTTTCATTTATATACATACTGAGTATGTATGACAAATTTCTCTTTTTTGTCTTGGGAACTACAAATAAGACCTTTCTGAAATAAGTTATTAGGCTTCATGTGCACATCCTCTGCGGTGGGATGCGGTATTAGATTCATCGCTGATCAGCTTTTTGTTAACCCATGTATGAAATTTTCCATATATGCTTTAGGGGAACTAAGCACACAGCTTGCTACAATTGCTTTCAATACCGTCATCAACATATGCTCATCAACTTTATGTTTACCTAATACTTTTATATTCTTACACATTATGTTTGTTAGATTTTTTTCGGAATCTTCAAATAAGAGCACCCATCAATTTGGCATCAAAACATTAACGTGGATGTTTTTTCTTCTGGTGTTTGTTGTGGTTGTGGTTTGCCCACGTTATTGTCTTGTGTATTTTGTTTTGTGATAATATATCTTCTCAAACGACACTTTTTTTGGTAGCATGACACGTTTCTGACGTGTTAATTTGCACTTTTTTTGCAGTTAATTCTTTTTTCAAGATTTAATAGGTGTTCCAGACTATATTGGTTCAATGGAAAACTGGGGACTGATAATCCAGAGAGAGGAGGCCATGTCGTATGTTCCTCTAGAAACATCAGAATATTTTAAGGAGTATGTTACATTGACTTTATCGCATGAGTTGTCACACGTGGTAAGTAGAAAATAAACCTATGATATTCTTTCTTTCTTAAAACATGCAAAACTCCTCGTTTATCTCAGTCGTAATCTGATTTGGATCACACTATGGTTATTACCATTTAACCAGTATTAGTTAACGGTTATGGTTTATTTCGAAATATTTCTATTACCGGCTATATTATACATGATATACAATAAAGGACACATAACACGAACTCTATCAAAAACTGGGATGATATCATGTGCTCCTAAACAGTTAGCAGATCCTGCTCCATATGTTGGACCTGTCGTTAAAGACTACATTTAAACTGTGTTTTATATGTTTAAATATAAATTTATGAAGGAATGTACTCATTTTAACGTTTAATGCATTTAATTTTAGGATCTTATAAAACATTTTAACCATTCCTGATGTTAACGTTTCTAAACGGATGCATCAGATCTCGCTCCTTTTTTGCCTTCATGAAATTCGCTATGTATTCGTTCGTTACCATGATTTCTCGATCTTTGAGACTTGAACATCGGTTAACAACGTCGGTTGACGTTTTTAACAATGATATGTGTCTGTTTTGTACCAATTTCATAACAAAATCAAATCTACCATAACGTGTTCCATACAATCATTAGGCTCACTTGCAAACGCCTATTTTAAAAAAAAAATGGAACGAAATTAGAGGCACTTCATGTACATATTTCCACAAAAGCTATTTTATCTTGTAGCTTGTTTATTGGAGTTCCACTTAATAAATGACTTAAATACTGGTACCTGAAATAAACATTAATATTTCAGGTTTTATCATTTGAATATGTATTTTGTAAAAATTCATCTATAAAGGTATTCAGTTAAATCATATAGTCACTCATTGATTGAACGATCTAAGAAATATTTAAATTTTATTTTGAAGTGGTTTGGAAACTTAGTGTCAACCTCTTGGTGGGACGATTTATGGCTAAATGAAGGATTTGCCAACTATATTGCACATGTTGCAATGGATTTCATAGTACCAAGCTGGTTGCCGGTAAATATCTTATTTCAATACAATATTGCAATGCTTCAGGTTCAGGTACATAAAATTATAACAACAATATTTGTTTTTTTTTATTAATTTTGATGAAGTTATAGATTATTGAATTATAACTGTACAACTTTTCCACAAACGATGTCTGGTGTCTTAGATGTATAATGGTCCAGATTTTTGAAAACTATCATTCCTTACTAGTAACGCCATTCTACCTCAGGTTGCTTTAACTGGTAAGGATATTTGTTATCCGCAATATTCTAAAATTTTACAATTTTTGTCTCCTAGATTTTATCATTGTGTTGGTGTTGTTGTACACTTTATTTCACATGGATACGCCGAAAATTGATTAAATTGTTGCAGGATTGTACCTTTTGTTAATAAATCTGGAAAACTGCAACAAAAAAGCTCATTGTATGGAATAGATGAAATTTTTTATTTAAACGCAATACGTGAAATATTCGTTTACCAGCTACTGCTTAGGAATATATTTAGCAAGCAAATAAAAAGCCCGACAGAAATTTAAAGGACAAAATTTAGACAATAAACAGGTGTCTTACCATGTTACAAGTCTTTTCTTATAACCAGTAAGCACAACTTGGAATGGCATTTATAGAGAATATATTCCAACACCAAGTCGCCACCTGTGAATAAAATATCCGAGTAAACGTCAACGAAAAATGAAAAATGAAACAATAAATGGCCTTAATGTTTGTTAACTTCTAGGTCATTTGTTCTATGATGTAGAGTAGTTTCATTTGCAATAATACCAAATCTTCTTATTTGAAATTATTTTACCTTGCTGTTGTCATCCAACCAATCAATGCACATGTTTCTTTATCATATGTTATGATGGAAATCTTTCCAAATGAAAACAAATTCCAGAAAACTGTTTCTATACAGTGCAATGATATTTGGATAAAACTAAGGACAACTAATGACGATTTTCATAGTCCCATTTTTTTGTCATTGTTCACCTATTTTTATTACTTCTTATCCCCGGTGGGGTTAGTGTTGCTCAGTCTTTGGTTTTCTATGTTATGTTTTGTATTTCTTGTTTGTCTTTATGTTTTTTTTTGTTTCTTTTTTTGATCTTGACAGTTTTTCTTTGACTTATAAGTTTGAATATCCGTTTTCGTATCTCTCGCCTCCATTTATTCTATAACATTTCAAATTCGTCTTTTATTTTATTCTTTCGATTAGATCTTATCATAAAGTCTCACGAGAATATAGATTAAGAGGCTTTAAGGAGCATTTAAGAAATAAATAAATAAAAAGATTATTACATAAGTTGCAATGAATTATCAAGATTTTACAATGAAATAAAAACACATAATTTCCCATGTAAAATAAACTCGATAATTTCACTCATCTGACGTCATACAACAATATGTGTTGTCAAGACGTTGCCGATGATGTTGCTTCAAAGCAAAATATGAATGCGTAGAACAGGATATAGTTTCTTGCAATTTCTACTTTATTACCATTACAAAGACTATTGGCAATGTTATAAAAAGAATTTCGAATCAAACAATTCAAATATCGAAAAATATTCAACTCGTAACCGAACAACACTAACAATTCTTATATAATACATTGTTAAGTTGCTAAAAACGATAACATCGTTTCGCGTAATTTTTGTTTTATGACATTTTACATCGAAATGATAACTAAAATGGACTGATTTGTTTATTTTGCATTATAATAGAGATTATAATAGAGATGACCATATTGTTTTTGAAGCTAGGCCTACCTGCGTTTAACGTTGGTTGTACTGTCAACATTTAAGTTTGGTCGTATAAAAGAGATGGGCGTAACACTGAAAAGCCATTTTTGTGTATTAATGCATCTCCCTTAAAAGTAAATGTACTGTGATTATACTGGTTGACGATACACAAGTCGTCATATGAATGATCGATAACCTATCAATACCTTCAGTTAATTGTTCAAGACAAGATAAAATCGGAAAAAATAGTTTCGAATCGGTTTGTTTTCATCAATTCCCAAAAGTGTCAAAGTATTTATATTGAAAGTGTCAACAGATGAGAAATTTAAAAAAGGAGCCACTCGGAGTCAACGATTGTATTAGACCGAAACGAGGCTCATTTGTAAGAATCTTCCATATATCATGCTTGCCAAGTATGGTGAAATTTTGCCAAAATCAAATCATTATTACGAATGATGTAAATGTTATTTCCAACATAGTTTTTATGGGTACTATATAGTATTAATGTCGCTTTTTATGCAACTCGATTGACATTCAAACATAATAGTTTGCAGAAGTGTTCAAATTATACATCCTCTTATACTTTGTTTTGTGGTAGCAGGTAAAAACCAACTTAAGATCGATAACAGAAGTTCGTCGATCATTTATGCAAGGTTGTGTTAATTTGAATAATTATGTTAAGCAAAGATGATAACTGTAAAAGTTTAAGGTCGCCGGCTGATCGATAAAGGTCATAAGATCATACGACATGAAGAGCTATTAAGGGTTGTCAGCTTAGATATCTGTGCTAATTATTATCGTCTGCTGTTGCAAGAATAATTAAGTTTATATAATGAAGGGTGTGGATGGGGGTCATTCATTTCTGTATTCTTTAATGTTTTAGCCCATACCTCTCTATTCCTCATATATTTGGCCCATTATTCTCTTTTCGTTATATCTAACAATCCACTATTATCTATTCTTTATATCAAGCACCTCATTATTCTCTATTCTGAATTCTTTTTTTCTCCCTTTTTTCTGCACTTTTTGCTCATTGTTTACATTTCTTTCAATCTCATCAGGACCCTTATAATGAGCATAACATATCATTAATACAGATTCAAAATCTATCATGAAAAAAGGTATGATACTTGAGGCAATAATTCTCTCTAATAATCACAATTGAAAACATATGGTTTCATAATATTTTTAGCTCTTTTTGACAAAATCTTTCTAAATTTTGGATCCTCAATGCTCTTCAAGTTTACACTTTATTTGGCCTTTTCAACCTTTTTTATTCGAGCGTCTCTGATGAGACTTTTTTAGACGAAACGCGCGTCTGAGGTACATAATTTTAATACCGGTATCTTTGATGAGGTTATTGATAGATTTTTTAATCTTCTCTCTGTGTAACAGCTGCTCGAATAAGATGGTTTTCTCCAAAACAGTATGTTGAGATTGGGCTGACGTTAACATTCCAAAAGTCAATGCCGTCATTGTCGTTGCCGAGCAAAATAGTAATTAACAGAGTATTAAAATTCTTTTAAACTCGGCGAGATTGAACGAACATTACATCATCTAGTTTGAAGAGCCAGCGATAAGCTATATTTATGTGCTTGAAATCGAAATAAGGGATTTTTCAATATAAAACGTCATCCAAGTATTAAGAATTATTTGTTTGACTTTTGACTTTATCTTTAAATAATATTATTTTCGAAATAGTTACTGCAGGAAAAGGAAGTCGTTGAAGTTTTCATAGAAATAAAAGTACATTGTATAAAAAGAGATGTAGAAATAATAATGTTAAAACATGTAGCATTATTAGATTTGTTTACCAATATTGCGAAATATTGGATTAAATGACAGATTATATGAACATTATCTATGTAAATTCCAACATGACCAAGGGATGAGAAAATCATTAGATAATGTGTGAAATTAACACTTTATGAATTCGGTGCTTCCAAAGAGATTTTTTGCATTCAATATCACCATCAAACCGATTAAAAAATAAACGAAGAATGTATAAAAACTTGAATACTTAATGTGTTATGTGCCTCAAAAGAAACCTTTTCTTAAACAACGCCGCATTAATGAAAAGTTTGTTTAAAATCATGTCAGTATCCGATGCACTGATATTTGAGATGATGATACTAGTACATCCGAGGACGGCAGCCAACCAGCAGTATCGATCGAGTGCTAGAAAGTGCGAGAAAAGTAAATAAAACTTTATCAAGTTGGTTCGTGAAAACTTAGGGTACAAAAGCGGAAGGCACATCCTTCTTATGATCTCAAAGAAATCATCTATATATGTTATTGGTTGCGAAAATATATTTGAAATCGTGTTGTTTCGTGTTTGCGAAAATACAGTTTAAATCGTGTAGTTTTCAAAAACATAATAAAAATACGGGTCACAGAATGTCTTTAAGCTGCAAGCTGTCCAACATTGTCAGATGTTGTATGGATAATACACTAAAAAAGTAAAATGAACACTAAACGATATGATTTTGAAATAAAACACGAGAAGATTTCCCTTGAAGTGAAAAAAAAAAAAATAAAAACCAACTGGGTTTGTCGTACTCGGTTTCTTGCTGCATAATAAAACAAAAGACCAACCTGATAAAACCATTGTTGTTGCTATGTAAATGAACGTCTCTCAAATATAATGAATGCCTGCATCAAATTTGCTAAATTATATCATTACAAATTAAAACCGATCCATTGCAATATTTCAATAACCAATAATTTAGATGTGATCTTCTCGCTGATATGTAACACACATTTTACAGACAACAAAATATTCAAAGTTTTACATAAGATTTTCATCTATATTTGTTCGAACTATGCTATTTACTGTTTGTAAAAGTTATATTCACAGTTTCGTTGAATCACAGCTTAAAATATTCCGAAAGTATTACCAAACCGTATTTCTCTGTATTTATTTTGTAGCTAGATAATTTTGTGATCAAAAGTGTTCAGAGGGCTTTAGCATTTGATGGCCTAATTTCCTCACATCCTGTATATGTCCCTGTTTCTAATCCGGAAGAAATATCTCAAACATTTGACACCATTTCCTACCATAAGGTACGTATCAATAAAACGGAGAATGTAAACGGGGAATGTGTTAGAGGCAACAACCAGACCAAGTCCAAGGTCACCAATGGGTCTTCAACACAACGAGAAAATCCCGAACCCTGAGGCGGGCTTCGGCTTGCCTCTAAGCAATAATGTAAACTATTCAGGGAAAATAGACGTCACACTTAACTCAGAAATATATAAATGAACCAAAATTTAAAAAAAAGATACAAGATTAACAAAGGCTATAGGTTCCTGACTTGGGACAGGCACAAAAAGAGGCGGGGTGAAACATGTTTTTTGAATATAAATGAAATCATTTCTGAGATCAAAGATACCTTACCATGTTTTAATATAAAGATGTTACACTAATGCTATGTTATAACTCAGAGCGATCTATGTGTGGAGTAATTTATAAATTTTCGTTCATCACCCGTGATATTATTATGTAATCTGAAAACTACATGTATAGAACAAAAGAAAATAATATCAAAATTCCTTGTGTCAGACGAATTATATTACTAGTAATTAAATGTATGTTTGTTTTTAGGGTGGATCTATTTTAAGAATGTTGCAATTCATTTTGGGAGACGCAACATTCCAAAAAGGTCTACAGGTAAGCCATATTAAGCTCTTATATAAACATCACCAGTAAATAGATTTAAGTCTGAAACGATCATTAGGATCTTAACAGGATCTTGAAGGTCTAAACAATAAACTGTTCGGTCGTGTTCAGCTTTTCTGTCAGCATTCAGACTTATCCCCTTCGATTAAGTCAGTTCTGATCCGACAGTTCAGTTGCAGTCAATTCAGTACTATTCAGTAGCATTTCAGATAGTTCCTTTGATTTTGATGAGTACAGGTAAATAGCAGCTGAACCGTACTGAATTTACCCCAGTTGATTAGTCTGAAAATTTACTGAAAACTAAAAATGACATAATACTTTATTTTTCAGTCTTTAAAGAGCTGTTCGGATCAAAATACTTAACTAGTGCATGCAATACCGATTTCATGGCTTCGGTCGATATTGTAAAAGGAGACCACCGGATTCACCAGAGTTGTGCCGAATGCACGATATATGTCGTTTGGATAAGTTCAATCCCGTACGCTATTAACAAAGTATCTGGCAAGCCTCATTAATTGTTAATGAGATTGCATTAAAACCCTACCATTGTTTAAAGCAGCTTTGATTGATGAGGATAAAACCTCAGTTTCATTATGATTTATGACAACAGAAATGCAAAGTTTCATGAAAATAGATTAAGAAGCAAATCACCTACCCAATAGTATTAAGATATCGACTTCGGTACTTGCTGTTGATTTATTTATACCGTTATTTTGTTTTGATAATTATTGCGGAGTAATTTGAATTCTAATATTTCTGAGAATTGAAAGAAAAATAAATGATGGAATTTAAAAATAAATTAAATATGAAAAGATAGCTTTTATTGGGTACTTTTAGAAAATAAGAAGGAAAATATGCTTTAAAACTAAGTAGATACATTTCATGTACATTTCTTAATGAAACTAGATTATTCAAGTTATCACCCCTAATATGACGAAATTAGAAGAAAAATTAATCCACGAGCACTTTGTTCTTTGGTTGTAAAAAAAAATAACTTTAAAAAAATAGTAAATGAAAAGTCTCACAGATGTATGTTATATCGGATTTGCTAATTTCAGTAATTTGCAATCAAATAATAATAGACATACCCCCTACCCCTAGTTTCCTAATTGAATGTTGTATGTATAACACATGCTTCTACTTTTCAGCGATTAATTAGAAACAGAGCATACGGTTTAATGGTCCATGATGATCTATGGGTTGCTTTGAGGACAGTAAGTAATACATTTGTTTTTAACTTTGCTTACAGGAACATCTATTTGCTGTTCATACTGTTTCAAAACATCGTTTGAACACTTCCCTGCATCCAAGTAAATGAAGAAAAAAATGAACATTTTGTCAATACTAAGAAACGAAAATAGGAATGTGATATCATTATATATATAATATACAATGTCATGCGTGTTAAAAAATTGGGGTTTACATTACATCGCCGATAACAATTCATGATGAACCATATCAAAAGACGAGTAAACGAGAAAGGTTGTAATGCAAAAAAATAAAGGCACCACTTACTACTAGGATCACTGTTAATCTGGAAATGTAAGGACATATTGCTCCGTTTTCGGCACTTGTCAATTAAGTCATTGTTTTGTCAACAAAGGGTTAACTTTATAATCAGTTATAATACGTTACTTTTGTTTGTAATGCGCTTGATATCATTTGAAGCACACTTTGTACCTATTGGATTGCCAATTCAACCTATCAAATTTACAAACTCAAATATGCTAACGTTCTGTCCTCAACTCGTTTCATTTGAATTAGCAATTAACGTAGATTAAGAACTTTAACCCCTATAATTATTAATTACTGTTTTTTTTTCCTTTAACTTTAGCAAAGTATAATTGATGGTAAGCCACTTGATGTTAAAGGAATAATGGACACCTGGACGCTGCAAATGAACTATCCAACAGTTTTCATGGAAAGAAAAGGACATGGCATAAGACTGAGTCAATCAAGGTATCTTCTGGATAAAACTGCTACTGATCCTGGAACATATACATCACCGTTCGAGTAAGTTTCATATATATTAAATAAAAAAGGGTATGGTATGACTGCCAATGAGATAACTACCAATCAGAGACCAAATGACGTCGATGTGAGCAAATATAGGTCACCGTACGGTCTTTAACAATGCAAACATAACTAACATTGACCAAACATAAACAATAGTGTACAAAACACATATAAACTAATGACTGATCAACAAAATCACCAACAAAAAACGGGGTTTATCTCAGGTGTCTTTCGACGGGCATATTGCTATATGGATGACAATCATTTGACCAAGGAGTGCACTTGTGAGTTTGAGGGTTGGGTAGATACGCGGTCAATTACGGTCTTTTTATCAAACCTAATGCATTTATTGCTATCTGCACGAGCCGCAAAGTCTATGAAGGATGAAGGTGAACAACGTATTGATAACACTCTCCTTTTTCATTTCTGTTTTATGCTAAACACAATACTAGTAATTAGAGACTTATATCAATATATTTCTTTTCCAGGTATAAATGGGAAATACCTTTCACTTACACAACCCAAAAAATGAAAGACTTTAACAAGAACGAGGCTGACATAATATGGATGGGAAAAGACGGAAGAGACGGTAAGTGTACTACTAAAAGAAAGATCATCCTTGTCATACATTCGATAAATGGTGTCTTTTTATGTAATGTGGATTCAACAAATCGAAAAAGATCAAAGCATGACCAATAACACATCTAAAATTAGCTTCTGGATTTCATAGTCACAATGTCAATGATGTACAGATTAAACTCAAAACAAAATAAATAACCTATCACAAATTATACTTAAAAATATTAAAAAACGAATAGTTGTTTCTGTACATAATTATGTGACCATGTTGTGGTCTATTTATCAAAAAAAGATGTGGTATGATTGACAATGAGACAACTCTACACAATAGACCAAATGACACAGAAATTAACAACTATAGCTCACTATACGGCCTCCAACAATGAACAAAGTCCATACCGCATAGTCAGCTATGAAAGGTCCCGAAATGACAAATGTTTTATTCAGTACTCGTCCATCATTCAATGGATTTAGTGTAAATACGTCATAAACAGTCTACTAAAACAATAGATAATCTTTGTATGATACTATTAAGTTTCTTATGTTTCTGTTATTGACATTTTTCAAAAAAAATTTTTATTCATACACTAAATCAAAAATCATTCAAACTCGTTCAAGGAGAGACGAAAGCTACCAAATGGATAGTCAAACTCATGTGTCGAAAATATACTGTATGACAACTCTATGGCAATAAAACCAAAGTATACAAAACACAACATAGAAAACTAAAAACTGAGCACACTTACCCTGTCTACTTGGTTTTCGATACCTTTCAATCATGGTCTATCGTATATGATCTCTAGATGTCTTTGGTAAGTGTTTTATTAATGTTCTTGCTCCATATTTATGTTTCATAAAAACACAAAAGTCGTTTCTTCTGTATATTGGGGTGTAAAAATCGTGTTAATTGGTACACCAACTACTTTTTTCAGTTTTCTTACCAAGAGTAAAATGTGGAAATGGCTGGTTTATAGGAAATATAAAACAATATGGATTCTATAGAGTTAATTACCCGGAAGACAATTGGGTAAAACTAATAAATCAACTAAAGATCGATCATACGGTAATTATCTTGTTTCTAATTTAAAGTTGATCTTAGATGACTTTGGTTTCCCTTTAGGCTTCATTCGGTTATATAGCTATACATGTAGGTAGCTTACCATCTTTTGCTTTCACTGTTTTTGGATATGATTGTTCCCGATGAAAATAAATCCAGACAGACGCTTTGGATGCAATAAATGTATAACTGTTATTTTCATTGTTATGTTGGAAACCGTAAATGTTTTATTGAATCAAAACTAAATAGATGAGTCACAATGACATTACAAGAATACAGGCCTTACTGGTAACTACGATATCAAAATATTGAAGTCTACTGAATCGGCCTAAACGACTACGTTATGAAATGTTGGATTGTTACAAGGCAAACTTTATTTCTTTTGTCCAGTTTATTGTTTTCTTGTATTTATTTGTAGTATTATTCAATTGTTGGTACATCAATGAAACGCAGTTAATAGTTTAGGAGAAGTTGTCGATACAAAAGGTGGACGAACAAAAAAAAAAGTACAACACTAATGTACTCACTATAAATACCACTGTCCGTAGATTAAGGCATACTAGGGTTGTATGCTGTTTTTCTTCAGGACTGAAAAATAAGCAACTGATTTTTTTCTTTTTTTTCTATCAACTTCGAATATTCTATTGTACTAAGTTGTTAATTACAATGTCCCATTGTGCTACAACAATACAACAATGCAGCGGATGTTCCTTTTCATTAGAAAAACTTTTTTTTAAATGTATGTATTATATGTGTAAGTATCAATTTACAGAGTAATTCTACAAACATGTATACGCTTTCGGTGGCAAAATAAAGATACAACGAAAAGAAAACAGACCGTCTTTTGTTTAGCTTTTAATTTCGGATTTTCAAACCGATTGTAGAAGCATGGTTTCTAATCATTTGCATCGAAAGGTCAGTATTATTGAATTTATTACGAGTGTCAGTTAAACATAATGTTAAATAATAACTGCTTTCATGCTTTGATCCGAGTGATGGCGGTTTATAATACAAAAACATATACTTCAGCATGTTTGCCAATTTTATTTTGAGACGGCAGGCAAAAATGTTTTCCTTTAAAAACTCGTGTATGTTTTTGTGTTATAGGTTATTCATCCTGTAAATAGAGCTCAGATAATTAACGATGCATGGAGCCTGGCAAAGTAAGTACCAATAAAACACTTACTCGTGTCGTGTTCTTATAGTTTCATATTCATATAACAACAAATCAAAGATCTGATGCTTTTGATTACGTATGCTAGCTGCGTGATTCAGCGAAAGAATATTCATCGGTGTCGCACGAATGAAAACAGATGAAAGGGAAATCTACTGAATACCATTAAAACAAATATTCATAAGTTTTCATTTGTTTTACTCATTTTTAAAGGTCGTACAGTGACCTATAGTTCTGTAAAACGTTCTTATCACTTGGTCTCTGGTGGAGAGTTTGTCAATGTCGATCCTACCACATTTTCTTTTCCATGAGAAAACCAGAATTCTCCGGAAGGGTATAATAGGTATTGAATTTAAGCAAATATATGCATATCTTCTTATTTTTTTATGTAATAGAGTTGCCAAATCAAACGTATGCGATCAGTGTTAGATATAGAGTCATTAAGAGTTTCATTTTCACGAAAAATTAAACAATTAACAGTATCAATGATATTTCCTGGGCTGTTGATACTCTCCGGGAGGAAACCTCAACCAGTAGTGGCATCCTTAAATCAATCAAACTAAAAAAAGCAATTAATAAATAAATAAAAAAACAGTAGATTACCAGAACCAATTGGTGATATACAATAACTATAAAGCTGCGATTATCGTATCATCGCGAGCAAGGATAAGAGAGTGCAGGAAAACATCCTTAAACCGTAATACAGATACAGAAGTTTTGAAATACATCGATTAGAAAGAAAAAAAATTAATTCAAATTAAATTCTTAAATATGTTTTGTCTCTTTGCGTGTTATATAATTCTGCAACACGTATTTTCTTTTAAGATCGGGTGACCTTAGCATGAATATAGCCCTCCAAACTCTTGAATACTTGTCAATGGAAGAGAGTTATTTCCCTTTTTTGGCTGCCCAAAGAGATATTGTGTACGTACGAAACATGCTAGAAAGAACAGACGTATATGGTGACTTTGCGGTAAGTTTTTTTTTCTATTTTTTACTTTTTTATTGTTTTAAAAGATATAAATTACCTAATTAACAAAATATATATATCATTGTTTTTTTTATTTAGTTGTATGTTTATATTTCAATTAACCCTTGATTTATCTATTTAAGTTTGTTTCTTTGAACATTATGTTCTAGTTTTTAGATTCTAGTTCTTAAACTTGTAATTGCTTGACAATTATCCTGTTTTTTTTGTCAATAGGAGATGGTGATTGTTTACTCACGCTCATCTCTTTGTGGCGGGTTGTCTTGTATAAAAATATCGTCGTTAGTCTAAAACAAACATTTCTTTATTAATATACAGATAAAGAAATTGTATTTTTAAAAATCAATAAATGTCTGTATTCCCCCCTAAGAAAAGAAAATATAAATATTCGCTGATTAAATCACATTATCTATTATAGCATAAGGGTCTCGGTGGTTCAATGTTCGGAGTACTAAGTAAAATATGTTTTCCCGTTTTTAAGCATCCTCCGAAAAGCCTTTTGTGATGCAGCTTTTCGGGGTAAAAAATCCTTATTTTTACAAAATTAGTTCTTTCAAAAATATAGTCCTTTGCATACATTTAATAACTCCATAGTATGACACTTTTATTCTATGTTCCTATGCTCTTCTAATCGGGACAAATGATTAAGCTGAGGTTCGTGTTAAAAAAAATGTCTAATATCACTGCACAGAAATGTTTTGTTTACGTTCTATTTTTGGGTACCTCTATTTGATGCATATGAGGGATATTGACATATCTACATTTAGCACTCGCCGATCAAAACTGGCAAGTCCGCTTGTGGTAATTTGCGGTCCACTATTAAGTATTTGGCTTTTTCGTGTCAATATGGTCGACAGATATCAAACTATTATAGGATGGGAAACACATGTAACAGAAACAACTTATCACTTTTGAACAAAACCTTAGTCATCTCATCAGTCTATATCAATCCATAAAAATTAACTTACCATGAATATGCTATAGATGTTTAAGGCAGCTTTAATAATAGAGAGGTGAAAGATTCCAAAGTCGAAAATAAACTGACATCGCCATGGCTGAAAAAATAAAAAGACCAACAGTACATAAAACACAACATAGAAAACTAAAGACTGAGCAACACGAACCACACTAAAAACTTGGGTTGATCTCAAAAGAAAATACGGAAGGGTATTATAAATATTCAATTCTAGCAAATCTATGCATTGTTCGCAATCATAGAAATTATAATAACTCAATGACATACTGTGGATTCATTTATTTTCGTTGGTATCAATTTTTGTGGATTAATGAAACTTGCATATTCTTGGATATTTGATTTCGTGGTTTTGTCAATTTCTGTATGCAAAGCCTATTGAAAATATGTTATTCGTTGAACATTTGAATTCGTGGATCATCTATACCCACGAAACCTACGAAAATTGGTATCCAACGAATAATAATGAATCCACAGTATACTCATTTATGTATCTAAAAAGAAAAAATGGAGGATGTTCCCTATTATGTTTGTGCGATTGACCTGTTGTCATATTATAAATTGGGTTCTTTATTCGACCATCTAACATTCGAAGATAAGCTTAAGGAAAGAGAATGTGTATAGTGATTGCAACATGTTCGTGGTCATTCGAGACAATTGTAGATTATTATAAATTGAAATTGTTCCCAAGGAATTTAAACCCACTTGTACCATCGAACTTTCAACTGCCTCTATCGATCATCATTAAATTGTTATTCATACTTCTTCAACCAAAATAGATCTACGATGAATTTTGCTCGGCTTTTATGTCCATTTTAGTGAAATAAAACTTAAGTTCTCTTCGTTTACACATTCCTGGCTTTCAAATGTTATGGCTTAAGTGTTCCTGATGAAGGTGATTCCCGAAAAGCGTATCAATCGAACCAAACAAATATATACATGATATATAGTGAAATATTTATTATGTAAAATGTGTTTCATAAGAGAGGCGGAAGATACAAAAGGGATAATCAAACTCGAAACGAAAAAAACGATAAAAAAGACAAACAACATTATACAAAACAAAACATAGAAAACTAGAGACAGGGCAACACAACCCTACCAACTGCCGGAGATCATGTGACACATGTGTCATCAGTATTGTTAATAATATAAATGATTGTTTTAGTGGTTCCATCTGCATTGTTTCATTTATGACTCCTCCAAATGGTAATTGTCATCGAATGGTTACTTGCCATGTGCATATAAGTTGCACTTCTGTAAATATAGACAATGCAATTTCCCATAGGAACTCCCGCTACGACTAATACTGTGCCACTTTTACTATTAAGTTTCTTAAAAAAATATATCCTAAAATGGAAAGTTGATATTGTATTCAAAGGTCAAAACATGTTTTAAACATTTATATGCCCCGAACTTCTTAGAGTTTAAACTTATACTAAAATTCTGTACTACCTATTCCTTCACTTTTGGTCTTCTTCAGAATTCAAAATTCGCTGCAACCATGTGTATATATACTGGTAACATTCCAAAGTTATGTCTCTACGAGATGAAACATAGATATCATATCAGGGAACCAGTAGGTAAATAAAACAAAATGTCTATGAATATTATATATCTCCTCAAAAGAGGCATGGTTTGTGAAACAGCTGTATTTACAAAGTGCAACTTATAGAGAGACACTGGTATGCATCTACTGAATAATTATTCATTTTTTTATCTTGATTATGCTTTTCGTATTACAGTGGATTCATGTATTCTCGTTGATCCCAATTTCGTGGATTGAGGTTTTTTTATATATAATTTCGTGGTGTTACCAAATGTCTGTGTTGAAGCCCTTACAAATTAGTATTTTGTTAAACTTCTGAATTCGTTTTTTTTTTCTTTACCATCAAAATCCATGATCATAGGTATCCCACGAACAATATGGATTCCACTGTAACTGACAAATAATTCTACTTAATGCATTTCATATTGTATCTTTCTTGCTTTGTTATAGGCGTTCATGAGTAAAACATTTTCCCTTCCATTGAGTAAGCTTGGTTACAGCAATACTGGATCTGGACATTTACAAATGTAAGCAACACCAACACAATTTACATCTCGTGATCTAAATTTTACTTTTAAAATTGGGTGATTATGTAAAAATAAAATTGAGAATGGAAATGGGGAATATGTCAAAGAGACAACAACCCGACCAAAGAGCAGACAACAGCCGAAGGCCACCAATGGGTCTTCAACGCAGCGAGAAAATCCCGCACCCGTAGGTGGTCCTCAGCTGGCCCCTAAATTAAATTGTTCCATTTCAGTGAAAATTGACGT